TCATATGGGACTTCCAACCTATTTCAAGCCTTTAACTTGTAGTCTCCATTCGCATAAGAGCTCAAACCGTCAAAGCATCGGCACGTACATCCCAATGGAACTCGACATGAGCATCACTCTTGGGACAGTACTTATAGGGATTTGTCTCTGATTACGTGATAAAAGGATAATATGATTGTATTCGATAATCACAAGGCAATACATTCACCTTAATTACACAATAACATCACATGTTCCATGCAATGCATCTCACTCACAATTATGGTAACCAATCACTCATGACACTCACCTAGATATCATGTTGCATGAATGTCACCTTCTAGTGTCATCTAAATCATACTTGTAACCTAATTATCTTTTTAATCCATTTACCTAGTTATCAGCTTAGGTTTCCTCACTCATTTTTGGTTAGTACATGGTCTCACATCGCTATTTAATAGCACATTGCATTCTCCTTCCAATGCTTAAAGTCCTATATCAATCGAACTTTCGATTCATGAATTATGACGGAAACAAGAATTGAATTATTCACATTCATTTCAATTCCATTTCTATCCTATCAATCAATGGCATATATTTGCGCTTCTACTTCACTATCACATAGAGCATTAAAATAGCTTTCCAACGCTTCCGACTGTGCGTCAAACGGAGTTATGAAATTCAAGTTACATCCCGAATTATGCTAAGGAAAGCGTGAATCATCCAGTCGTGCTCAGCGCCAGGAAACAGAGGGGTTGCGCTAGCAGTGCTAGGAGACGGATACCCTGTACTAGCAGCACCCAAAAGCTCAGGGTTGCGTGTAGCGCCCCTAGCTGGAATTGGCGCGAAAACCAGTTTCAACACTCATAAAACTCCTTTTTCTTCCACTTTTATCCACTCTAAGCCATTTATAATCACCTCTTAACATATCCAAACATTCCACACCATGAATTTCATCATTTCCCAATTCTAAGAAACAACAATATGATAGCTTCACCATTATTTACAACATGAACATGAAATTAATCCAACAATAACATAGAATCACAGACAACAACAACTTATCATGGAATCACACAATCATAATTCCCAATTATGAAATCTCCCTCCCCCAAAGCTAATGTTATCTATGGAACTCACCTCTTGAAGATGAAGAAGTTTAGTGAAGAAGATGATGAATGATCTTCACTTCCATGGCTTCTCCTTCTTCTTCCCTTCTTCTCTTCTCTTCCTCTTTCCTCTTTCTCCCTTCTCTTCTCACGTTTTATTTCCTTTTAATTTTTCCCTGATAAGTTTCTTTCTCCTTCTTACATACTTTCTTTCTTTTTCTACCACATACGCATATATAATATAATATATATTATATGTAGTTAGCATTAAAAGTTGGTAACAAAATATATCAATTGATACTTTGTCTTCTAGTACCAATTGACCAATTATTAATGTTACTAAAATGTCCCCTCTTGTACTTATTAATAATGGTTATTCACTTTTAATAAGGATTGATCCCTTCAGAGTCCACTGGTTACTCTATTTGTCCCAACTAATAACATTTAGAGCACCTAGGAGCTCTAATTGTTCTAACTGACAAGAAGATAGAGTAAATAGGAACTCAATTGATCTCAACTGACACTCAATTGAGCATTTATGGGAATATGGGATATTACACTTTCTCTCTTTCTCTCTCTCTCTCCTCTTTTCATATATTCGGACAATAGACCCCTTTTAATCAATTCCTCGATAGCATCATACAGTCATCGATGTTGTGGTTGTGACCATTATGGAAGCGACAATATTTTGTCTTGTCTATACGGGATGACTCTCGGATTAGAAAGGGGCTTCTGATTCATCCTTTTCAAAACTCTATTATCACACTCTTGATAAATCTTTTCTCGAGATTGATTTGTGTATTTTAATACACCATATTTTACTTTGTGTTAAGGTATTTTTTATGACTTGTTACTTTTATTTTACTGTTTTTAGTGTTTTTCCTAAGTTTAGCTTATTTTTGCTTTTATTTTAATTCTGTTATTTATTTTCTGAATAAAGATAGTTTAACACCTTTTTGTTGTGCAGGTCATAACTTGAGCTATGGGATGTAGTTCGACGTGTTCTAATATGCTTTAGAAAGCTGAAGGGATAAGCTACAACTTTTGTGTTGAAGTCAGAAGCTACTTTGGAGTTCAAAAGGGTCGAAAAAATTGTTTTATATTCATACTTAATAAAGTAATTAGTTTTTGGTCGGCTTTTATGTTTTTCTGGTCAGATGCTATTGCGGCCCAATTTCCCTTTTATTATTTTAGTACATTCGCATATTTGTATTCACTCATTCAATGTTCACGAAATTAGAAGAGCTATTATGAATTCTATAGAGAACTAACGCCTAAGGATTGATCTGTTGTAACCGTGTCTTCATCCACTTTGAGTTTTTTTTATAATTTCCAAAGAAATTTCAATTCCTTTTCAATAATTTTTTGTAAATCTGATTGCTTTATTCGGTTGCCATTGTTTTCTTAATTCAATTGATGCTTATAGAATAGGAATGATTTATTTTGATTGATGAATGTTTCGTACCGCAATCATGTTTGCTTAATTTGTGTCTACTTGATATGTTTGCTTAATTAGAAAATTAGGAATACATATCATATATTAGTACCAATTGTGCTTGTTATTGTTGTTATAATCGAAGGGAAATTAAAATTGTTTAGGGATTTGGAATTATATTAATTGATGATAAGTTGGAGACCAAACAGTAGAATAATTTGTCAATATTATTCGTAATCAAATTCAATTAATCATAATCTTAATTGAAACCTAACCCCCCTTCATTATTTTGATTAGTTAGTTAAATCATTCAAGAATCCTTACGATACGACTCAAGTGTCTTTTCCATTTTACTACATTTTTAATTATTGTTTTTTACCCGTGTGCAATAGCGGACCAATGATGCATTCAAAGAAGTGTACTTATCATACCAAACATGCGTTACTTCGTTGGATTCATCTTTTTGCCGGTGAGAATCATGTCCTGTCAGGGCTAGAATTGGCGTCAACAGCGACCAGGTTGTCAAATCGAGTGTTTAGATTTTCCTCGAGGTTGATGAAAAATTGAGCCATATTCAGCAGTTCTTTCATGATATGCGCTTATTTTCTTCCCAGTTTCGTTATGAAGGGGCTAACTAGCACTAGGCTCTTTTTGAATATTCAGCATTTGAAACCTTTCTCAGCTTCTTATACTTCCACAATCACTTGAGTGAAATGATCGATGTAAGACCGTAAATTATCCTTCCTTCCTTATGTAATCCCTTTTAAGGCATCTACTATCATTGGTTTTCTTTTCCGAGCCGTGAAGTGAGCGAAGACTCTCTCACACATGTTGGTTCAAAACATGATACTACTGTCCACCAGAGTGTTGAACTATAGTCTGGATGATCCAATCAAGGTTAGACAAAACATTTTACACTTGGAAGCTTCATCAATGTGGAAGTAATTTAGTCGGTTGTTGACGAGTTTCACGTGTTCGTCTATATCTCCTTTCCCATTGTATTCGCCCAACTTATGAGGCTTCTCCAATGACTTTGGCATTCAACTGTCTAAGATGTGGATGCATAGAGGATGTTTATGCAAATTTTGTGTCTGTGGTTTCTCCACATGATCCTAGGAAGGAGCATGGTTGCCTTGGTCTCCCTCAGGGCTTTGAGGAGAAATCTGGTGCTTCTTGCTCTTATGGTGATCTGTGATTTCGGAGCTTTGTCTCAGCTTGGATTCTTTTTTACAGGGTCACCTGCACGGTGTTTCCTCGTGGAGGCGCGTTGTGTAGGATTTCTTAAAGACAAAGTAACCTATCCTCTATCGCATGTGAATTCTTTTATCGAAGGATGTTATACATGTTGTTCAACAATTAATTAACGCCTTATACTCTGAGATTGGCTCGCAATAGGGTGGTATCGAAGGTCTGATCGGAGGCGTTGAATTAGATCCTACAATTTGAGAAGGTTGGAGTAGATATGGATGCAACAGCATACTTGTCACTACTTGATTTGCAAGACCTTGAAGAGGAGGTGGGGACACTTGAGTGATCTCCGCTTGAGCGGCAGTTGCTTCGCGTAAGGCGACAGAACGAGTAACTTTAGATAAAGTCATTCCTAAAAAGTTAGAAACTCACTAGTAGCTTTAGATACAACCATTACTGAAAAGTTAGAAAGTCACGAGTAACTTTAGATCCAATCATTGTTGAAAAGTTAGGAAGTTAAGAATTTAATAATTAATATTGATTCGCTGACTTTTATATATATATATATAAAAGTCTGTTCAAAATCATTGTAACACTTATTTATCACAAAAATAAAATATAATTTATAGTTGTTCTATATAATAGTTTGTACCATTGTAACACTTATTTATAAAAAAAATAAAATAAAATAATAATTGTCCTATAATCATAAAGATAATAAGCATCATTAAATAAGAATTATGGTTGCTATTATATCAACACCCTTAAAGTTATCCTAAAAAGAAAGAGCAAAATTAAATAAAGTTCCGTTTTATTTTTATAAACACGCATCATTTGATTTTGTCAAAAACAAATTACGTTTTTTCTACTAGTTATTTTATTGAAGAAAAAACTCCAAAAAGGACTCAATTTTGGTCAAATATCTAACAATTCGTTCGTACAATGGACAAAGACCAAAATAAGCCGCGTCTTGTCTTCCTTCTAGGTACGCCCAACTGTTTGAACTGTTTCCATCACACGCATAGTTTCCTTACTTCATTTCCTTTCTCTCTTTTCTTCTCTTCTAATCTCTATAATTCCTATTCTCCCTAAGTATCTAACTTTTTCTTACCACTGCTACAGTGATACCGACGGAACCAAGGTATTTTTTTTTATGTTTCTATAGAAAATTATAATCATTTTTTAGGGGTTGAGAATTTCATTGATTAATCCTGTTTTTTTTTTTTTTCAGATTCTTGTTTGTAATTTTAGATTGTGAATTTTTCTGTGGTGGTTGATTTGAGATAAGTATGAGTTCGAATCTAAGGAATGGAAGTGAGAGTTCCAGCTCGAGTTTGAATAGCAGTTTTCGTGACACGGAGGATGATCAAACCATTGCAAGAATATTAGCAGAAGAGCGAACTCTCAATACAGGTAGTAGCAGACAGTTTGGGAAGCGACTTTCCCATTTAGATTCTATTCCGGTATGTATCAATCATATGATATGGGTTTTGCCTTTAACTATTGATTTATTATTCGTTCCGTGTGCTATTGTATACTCTTGTTGCCTGCATTGTGAATTTGAGATGAGAATACTAATTAGGTATTGTTGCAGCATACTCCTCGTGTTAATGGAGAGATTCCTGATGTCAATGACGCCACACTTGATCATGAGACGCTATCAGAAAGGTTGCAAATACTAGCTTGATTTATAGTTATCAATTTTTGTTTTTCGAACTATGGCAAATTAACTGTTGTGTTCACATATTTGTCTTTGTATTTTAAATGAAATTAATATTGCGCTGTTTGGTAGCTTAACTTTGCATTGCATATTGGAAAATTTTAATCAGGTTGTTGTGTATAGGAAACAAATCTGTTAAATCTCATTACCATATTAATGCCATGGTAAGGGAGATAGATAGATTGATAGTTAGATAGATGAAGAGTTAGTATGAGCTTTGAGAAAATAGACTTACGTGGTTTGGGCATGTAGAGAGAAGACTTGTAGATTCTGTGGTAAGGAGAGTAGATCGGATGGAGAGTAGTCAAATAGTTAGAGGTAGAGAAAAACCTAGAAAAACTATAAGAGAAGTTATTAAGAAATATATTGAGATTAACGATTTGGATAGAAGTATCGTCCTAGATAGAACATTATGGCGGAAGTTGATCCATATAGCTGATCCCACTTGAGATAAGGCTTAGTTGTTATTGTTGTTGTTGTATGCTTATATGCCTTTCATTTTTCAATTTCTGTCAGAATTTTATACTTCTTTACATATATCTTTAAAGGGAAATTTAAGTTAAAATCATGATATAACTTGCTTAAGAGTTGTGTCATTGTGAGTTGTAATTATGTCAAAAATGACGGTGTACAATCATGAAAGGGAGCTTACTTGAAACAAAATGCTTATTTGTTTTTATTCATAAAGTATTTTTGTTTTACGGGATAAATATGATCCATCATTTTCTACAGGTTGGTTACATATGGCCTGTCAGAACTGCAGATGGAAGGCGATGGAAATTGTCAGGTATTTCGGTTTCTTTCCTTCAAAACAAAACCTATGTGGCTTCTTACTTTTCCCTCGTTAGTTGACACTTTTGGTACATATATTCCTTCGTTTTATTGTCTAATATCTATGAAAATTTTACTTAACAGTTCCGAGCTATAGCTGATCAGTTGTTCGGCAAGCCTGATTACCACAAGTATGTGAGAAGGCAGGTTATTAAGCAGGTAGATTCGTTATAGGCATAAATGCACTAATTTCTTTTGGCTATAACGAAATATTTCATCGAAACACTGCATGATCCTCACTCATTTTTCTTTTTCTCCAGCTAAAGCATCACAAAAAATTGTATGAAGCTTACGTGCCAATGGAGTACAAAAGCTACATAAAGCAAATGAAAAAGTTAGATACCGTTCGTGATCAATATTTTACATTGATTTCATTAGAGAGCATAGTATTGATGGTAACAGTAATTCGATATTTTCATCTTGTGTGACAATAGATCAGGAGAGTGGGGAGATCATGTTACTCTTCAAGCAGCTGCAGACCGGGTGAGTTATCTAAATCCTATATTCCACACTCAAATATTTCTCTGGCTACTTATTGTTAAAATTGTTTTCTTTCTTCAGTTTGATGCGAAGATTTGCTTAGTGACCTCTTTTAGAGACACTTGCTATATCGAGATCCTTCCGACTAACAAAAGGCCCACAAGAGGTAAGTATTGTTAATGTTGCTTTTTTTGATGGTTTGTTTTGATTGTCGTTACTTTGAAATTCTTCTTCCGAACTTGTTTTGTCTTGAGTCTTGATTTTAAGGTCAATGTAGTAATGATTCGTTTTTGAATTTATAGAGCTATGGCTAAGCTTTTGGAGTGAAGTGCACTATAACTCATTGTACACAAATGGAGGTAAATATTATAACAACTTTTAAATGGATTACTCTTCATGGTAAGAAGTAGTATAATAAAATAAGCTTATCTTTTGTTCCTACGATGAATTTTGCAGATGTTCCTACTAGACTTCCAAAGAAAAAGTATTGGCTCTTCTAGAGAGATAGCAGATTATGAAATCACAAGAATAACTGATTTTATTACAATGAGTATTAATTAGTTGTCACTTCCCTTCTGGGGAAAGAAGATTATGAATCAAATATTTTAGGTAATTATCATATTTGTAGATATTACATCATGCAAACATATAGCTAAACTAAATGAATTTATCTAAACTTTCATTGTACAGTCTAATTTCCTACAAGTAGAGTGCAAAATTTATTTCAGTTGCCTCAGTTTTTCATAGCAACACATTTCCATATCGAGAATGTGATGGAAGTAATTGTAATTGAAACAAAAACTACTTGATATGTGGATCTTCAGTAATATAGCTTGTTTATATGTCCCTTCATTGTTTTTTTAAAGTCTTGTGTGTTACTATCAAGATGGCAAAAGGAAACAACATCCGGACATCTATATGAGCCCCATTCTTTCTGTCAGAGAAGGATTATGAGCTTATCTTTAAGAAATGAGGAATATGATCGTCGCTCAATCAAAAGAAGTATCATGAACACTCAATTTTTAATATTAATGCTCATTTTTTATTGGATGAAATATACCGGATCACACATTTTTAAAATGGATCTCTGAGAATTTTTTAATTTTTTAAGGCACATGTGTATTTTTTTTAGATATCACGCGAATTTTCAATAATGTTTCTAGTTTTTGGAGATATATTTTCGGACACACTCTTTTTACATTCAAAGAAGACCATTCTGGATGGCGCTACATGCAGTTGCTAAAAATTTATTCTGAAGATATATTTTCGGAATTATTTAGAGAAAATATGTATATTAATCAATAAAGTGAAATTTTTGGAGATGTATCTCTGGAAGATATGAGCGGCAATTTGAATTTTCTTGTCACTTTTGCATATCAGATTATTTTGGAGATATATCTTCGAAAGTATCTGATATAGTTTCAAGCTGCATGGATTTGGTGTGGTTATCGTATGGTGGCATCTAGACTTGGACTAAACTCGACTTTACTTGGTAAGAGAAAAATAGTCATGCGTTAGTCCGTCATCAACTTATCCAAGAGTTAAAGACACATAAGGAATCATACATGTGGTTGTACGGAAGAAAAAAATTTGATGCGGTTTATGAGTCACTTGTTCCTTGCTTGAGCAGTCTGGCACCGAAGTCAAAATGGATGAGCTTCCCGGATATGAGTCACCTAATTGTATCTGCATATGATATGGTGTGCATTGACCTTACACGCTACGGATTTTCAAAAACCTTTTTTCTACTGCGCACCACACCACCCTAAAATCCAAATGATTGCATCATATGTATTGGATGGCTTTCAAAATCAAGTCATTTTGTTCAAGTTTATTTAAAATCGAGATGCCTAATACCACCTACATCACCGGAATGGACGACTCGTTCAACTGTAAATGTCGAGACGTGGTTGGATTATTTTATAGAAAGGATGCAAGAATTCGATAGATTGAACAACATTGAGAAGTAATTGAATGCACAAAAGTCCAAGGGGTACCACTTATAGATTTATCCGGCGACACATGTTTTGATTCGTTTTGTAATCGAACAAATAATTGTATATAAGTGTGTCTTAATATAAATGAAGTGTTACATATTCACTTATTATTCATATTTAGTCTTTATAGATATTTGGTTCATATTTTGTGTTTCTCAACTCTTTGTCATATGATTCTGTTTTTAAAATGTATCAGGAAAAATTTCGAAGATGCATTTTCGGAAGGTTCTTTTATTTGCTTTGTTTTTGAATGGTTCATGGAAAGTTTCGGAGATGCATCTTATGAACTAGATAATGGGGTGTCGTTTCGGAGATATATATCCGGAGTATGAATGACACTCAATGAGTGGTCCTTATTGAATTAAGTCTTCTATAAATTTTTGTGTTCTTGTGTTATACTTCACACAAACTCAAAATATCTCAAATGTGTGAAATAAACATTTGTTGGTATGTCACAAGTTTCTCATACTCCGACGCCTTTATACCCAGGAGGACGTTCAAGCTCATCGATCTCACCTCCCTCGACGATATCATAGACAAAATCCATTATCTCCTACCTTATGGAGACACACGAAGAGTTGTCAAACTTGAGTGTCGTTCACTCTCGGTTGACAACGAATGGAACATTGTGTTCAGCAAATTCGAGCTAAATACTCGAGCAGATGTTATGGCAATGTGGTGAGCGTTTTTCGGTTACGAAGAGAAATTTTTGCTCAAGATGGAAGTGACACTACGAAGATCGGTCGACGATATCTTGGAGATGTGCAAGCGTCCACCGGGATATTGAAATGTAGTATTTAGATTTCTGTTGAAATCATCATTGTAATGCTCATTTTATGTTTGAAAAGTTCATCTTGTGTTGATTTATGTCTCTGATTTTGTTTCAGAAATATAATTACGATATGGTTTTGGAGATATATCTCTGGAATAAATCTTTAACAAATGCATAGGGCACTATCCATAATGGTCTTCCTTGAGTGTGAAAAGGGTGCGTACAGATATATATCTCCGAAACTAGGGGAAGTATAAGAAATCTGCATTATGTCTCAGGAGACGACTCACATGTTAGTGAGTTATGCATTTCTTTTTCAACTAAACCTATACAACCAAAAAAAATTCGGGAGATTCTTGTGACACCCATTTATACTTATAGTGCACCATGTGAAATTTTATCCTTCCTCATTTCACACTTTCTTCAAACTCAACACAACCTTTTTCTCAGTACAACCCCTTTCACCAAATCAAATTTCATCAAACGAGGGTCAAAGGAACTCAAAGAAACATCAAATATCATCTCTAATATTAGAAACAACATCTGAATCATCAATTTCAAGTAAGTATTTCGAGTTTTCGGTAAATATTCGAGTTTTAGTGTAAACGAGTAGGAATCAATGTAAACGAGTAGGAATCAATGATTAGGGTTAAAAATGTGTATAAATCACATGTAGCATAGTTTAGACATAGTGTATAACTTGTTGTTGGCTGAAAATGACGTTCAAATCATGTTATCTTCAACTTGAATGAGGTATGTTTTCCATTGACGCGACCTCTGTATTGCAGAACATTCTGGAGATGCACCTCCAGAATTGTTCAGCGTTTCACATACTTAGAAAAATTCCGAAGATGCATCTCTGGAATCGTTCAACGTTATAGTTTTATGGTGTTTCCGGAGATGCATCTCTGAAATTTTTCAACGTTATAGTTTTATGGTGTTTCTAGAGATGCATCTCCGGAATTTCCTGTAGTTTGTTTTTTTTTTTTAATTTCTTGTTTGTGCATCTTATTTGTGTGCGCTAATGATATGTCTTACTTTACCTTACAGGCATAATGCTTGGCAGAGTTGACTGACTGAGACATGGAAGGATTGCTCAGCACGCATCGGTTCAACGGGAGCAGAGACAGTAGGTTCTAGAGGCTTCAGGTACCTCTGATCAAGCAAAAGCGTAGACTTCTGGGGAGCCGTCTACTTCTAGGGCTCGTGTTTCACCTCAGGCCACTCCGCATTCTTCTTCTTCCTGTAGGAGATGGGATTTACTATCTGACGCGTAACTTTCCTCATCCTCTCACATGTGTCAGGATTCACCAATGTCACCTCCTACGGATGATGTTAATGTTCCAGACCCACGTCTCACTGCTGATCCAGTGCCACCTCTAGAGACTGGGGTTGTTGCGGATTCCGAACCAGAGGGTTTTGGAGGAGGTCCATATAATTTGTCCTTATTGCCTCTGTATCCAGACCACGCTACCAGGCATATTTAGGATGGAGAGGTAGCATTAGTTGGACTCTTTATTTTTTTTATGCATTAATTTTAATTGCTAACAGTGATAATTCTAATATTGATTATTCCTGACATTGATTATTTCTTAAAATTTTCAAGAGCATGATTCCCAGAAGTTTCTTAACCACAGAAGAAAGATGGTTACATTGCCTCAACAGGAAGCGGGTTGATTTCAGTCGATTCTGACCGTATCTGGTCTGAAGGACCTATGCATGATCGGTTACACTCTTAGACGTTTGGTTGCTGAGGACAAGCACTTCAACAGCTACATGGATCACCTCAGACACGGTCATTTGACGAGATAGTGCTATACTCTAGATGGTTGGCTTGCGAATCGCGTATCACTGTTCCTTATCTGCCTAACTGTGTCATGCGGCAGTTCGGATACACTCATACCATCCTCAGACACCTTATTGCCTCTGCTCCCCATGCCTTGACTCGTAGGCAGATAAATGCGATGTTTTCTGACTATGAGTCATTTGTTACCAGAGGAGGCACGGGGCTATCATAGCCCCGAACGAACGGAGCTACGTCGAAGGGTACATCAGATGGTTATTCAGGGTGTCACATTCGTACATGGTGCATGCTGCTCCAAGAGATCCGTCGAGACCAACTCATTAGGAGATACTAGAGGATGAGCAAGCTCAGCTAGATCATACTAATCATGTCTTACCTAGGTGTCATCGCATAGTGGAGATTGCGCGGGCAAACATTGACGAGGGTTTCTTCCTTGACGAGTCTGGTGTCAGGCGAGTCCTGGATGCCATCATGGCAGAGGCACTGTTGTACCAGAGACATCGTTAGAGGACGGTGGGATTGATGGCTGAGGAGGCAGAGCAGATGTTGTCAAACACGCACAGTAGTAATCTGTTATTATTTTGTTGTAGTATTATGCTCTCTACTTTATTTTTACAATTTTATTACATTTTGAATCTCAATTAGACGACATTTTCTACATATATTGTTATTTTATTTTCGACACACCCAGTATTAGTTTCTTATTATTTTGTACGTCTATTTTTTTTTTGTTTTTGGATCGTTTATTATACTTCATCTGAAAACAAATATATAACTTATAGTGAAAAACACCTGTTTTAATATACTTCAAAAATGTATCTCCGGAATATTACCAAAGATGCATCTTCGGAACAATTCAAATGTAAATGACTTCTGAGTGACATTTTTTGAATGTTTAAAATAGTTTCGAAAATGTATCTCCGAAAT